ATACAATTTTGTACTGTGACTTTACATTATGATTTTTGTGTTTATACATTGGACAATGGAAGTCCGAACTAGTGAAATTCATCACGAAACATTCTCAATCACCTTCAAACAATCGTCGGATGATGAGCAACTAACCTGATGGTTATTATTTAAGATAATAATCAATGGCCCAATTGCAATGTTCATTCTAGCGTGGTGATCCCACTTTATGTGTTCTCCTCTGATCGTATGTCTAATGCATTTTTTCCATGACTTGGTGTGACATTTTCTATCGCAGTAGCTAGTAAGCCTTTTACCTCATCCACTTTGAAAATCAAGTTTTCCCTCGCCACTTGGTTTTTTATTTGAGCCCATATTAGCTCGATCAGGTTTAGCTCACAATGGTAAGGAGGGAGACGGTGTATAATTCTGTTCCTCTCATTAGCCATTTCGTCAACAACATATGTCTCCAACTGAAGTATATGTTTCCTTGCAATATTGAGTAATTGGACTTTTAACATATTATCGTCGAATGGTAATTTTTTTTGAGACACCCAGTTGATGATATCAGCTTTTCGCCAAGCAGTTGTGGGTGACTGTTACAATTGTCTGCTGTGGTAGGAGGCACTGTCCACAACAACAACAGAGTTTGGTTCAATCATCAAGCTGAATTTGTTTTCTTCCTCTTAGTTTCAATGTATTTAGATACATTATCACATTTACCCTAATTTTCTATAAAGGTTTTGAGAATTCTGTGAACACTTGTCGTAGAGACTTTAGTTAAATCACTATACAGATTAACTACGTCGTTATGCAACATATTTTCATTCCGTTCACGGAACCTACAATTAACATTGTATATAATAGTTTTTTCTACTTCAGATAAATTGGGACGTCTGCGTTTCATTTGACTGTTTTCACTTTTCATATTGCTCACAGTTCATAGCACATAATTAATAGATTTATAATGATATTTCCCAGTCCTTGAACAAATCCCTTAGTTTTTACATGACATAATTAAAAAATAATAATATTCACTCTACGTATTATTCAACGAATATTACACTCATGAATGTTAACCTAACTGCACTCAGCTGATAAGCCAACATTCATATATCTCTCTATCTTACGGCAAATTTAATCTGCCGTTCTTTTTTCCTCCCCACGAACATCTGTGTTCGCAACGTTGCCCTTTGTAAATTTCAATCGCAGAATATAATTCATATTTTTTATATTCATTTAATAAACATTGATGCTGTTAAATACATCTCATTAGCAGGAAGTTTCTTTAACGAACAAAACACATTGTCCGTCATTCTATGACCATTTAGCTGTGTGTGTATGATTTAAATAGAAGATAATGAAATATACAGAAACACAACCTGACAACAATGTTTTTGTTTTAATGCAAAGGTATTTCTGAGAATTTAATGACCACTATTAAGGAATTTTAGTATATAACATTTTTAACAAACATTGACTGTAAAATACTAGCTATCAAAATTATGAATATTTTCCAAATCAATTTTGAGTAACAATAAACTTATCAAACATTTCTTATAGTTGATGATAATTCAACAATATGGGCCGGATCTGACAGAGATTACACCTACGATGAATTGTTGAATCGTGCCTTTGAAATTATGAGGGATAAGAACCCTGACATGGCAGCAGGAAAGAAACAAAAGTTCATGATGAGACCACCACAAGTAGTCAAGATTGGCGCCAAGAAGACTTCATTTGCCAACTTTACAGAAATTTGCAAAATGTTGCATCGTCAACCAAAACATCTGTTGGACTTTTTGCTGGCTGAATTGGGTACAAGTGGGTCTGTTGATGGTAATAACCAACTTATTATCAAAGGACGGTTCCAACAGAAACAGATCGAAAACGTTTTAAGAAGGTGAGATTATATACTATGCAAAATGTCTTGGGATTATTGTAGTGTTTCACATATATTTTAATTGAATAGAACTGGCTGATACTTGATGAAAATCCATATTAAAACATATTAATACAGTTTATTGTATGCAATTTTAAAGTTCATAGTATTATAAATTGTGGTATCTCCACAGCAGCTATAGCCTGTGATTTGTCAAGCCAGTAAAACATTCTTAAAATATGCTCATTTTGCTTTTGTAGATACACATTAGATTTGTCATTGCCTTCTAGGGAGTATTCAGCAGAAACATGCTGCTATTTTTTGTTTACAAAAACTATCTGTTTGGTATGTGCAAGGCAAAGTCGTAAGATCCCTGCAAACCACTATTCATCAAACAACACATCCTCACTGTAATTGCACTATTTATCCTTGAAACATGAAGTGTGCTGTATAATATTATATTTCTTCTTGATAATTCTAACCAACCAAACTATAATACACTTAAAGCTAGCTTGAATGTTACAATTGATGATAAAAGAAACATCGAAGAATGGTGGAATAAAAATGTACAATACAATTTCCATGAGCCTGAAGATTTATTCCTTGACTATTTTCAGAAAGAAATTGGGCAATACTGATACAATTTTTACAATGAAAACTCATTTACTTATGGTATCTATCTATAATGTGACATATGATTTTGAAGAAAGTTTTAATTGTATATTATCTATTCATTTTGTTACAGTGTATATGACAACTCTATTTTATATACATGATTACTTTTGTATTGTTTTCACCAGACCTGTTGTCAACAGGAATGTTTTTCTATCTCCTATTCAAAATAAAGCAAATCGACTATCTTATTTTGTTTGATCCAATGACTATTTAAAATGCTAAGAAGGAACAGTAATTTTGGTTTATTATATTTCAGATATATTAAAGAATATGTTACGTGTCATACATGTAGATCTCCTGATACCATCCTCCAAAAAGACACCAGATTGTTCTTTTTACAATGTGAAACGTGTGGATCACGCTGTTCAGTAGCTAGCATTAAATCAGGTTTTCAGGTGAGTACATGTATTTCTTTCTGCTTTATATTCACGATATTGTTTACAATTGTATTGTATTGTAACCGTTGAAAAAAGGCAATATTTTTTGTGAATCGGATTCTGCCCAAAAATGTTTGTCAAAATATTGACAAGTTTTGTACATTCTAGAATAAAAATTCTAGATAGATTTAATATCTTCGTACTGGTTTTTATTTTCAGTACTATTTATTAAAAAATCGTCTTGAAAGTCATCATTCAGTATGACATCTGCATTGTTGATAGTTTNATCTAATATCACAATGGGTACTTAATATTTATGTAATAAACAAAGTAAATCACAAAGTAAGTCAGGACATGATTCGGCACGTAGACGCGTCAAAATGTCTTCGTCGCTTGTATGAAATTCAACGCGCCGAACATGACTGATCACAGCGCGAGAATTCCCGAATGCAGTTTCGATCGTAGTTTCGGCAGGTTTGCCGCCAAAACCTAAACCCGTTTTTTTTTACCAAACCAAACTTTCGGTAGGACACTATAGTACATTGCAAAATAATATTGACATTTAATTTCATTTAATATTTGTGTTTTTTTTTCAGGCTGTCACTTCCAAGCGTGCGGCGATTCGAGCCAAAACTGCATAGGGTGCTCAAATGCAATAAAATTAGACAGTTCGAATGCTATTATAAGGCACTTTTATATGCTATTCTTTCGAGTGCTGATGATTTGATGTTGAATGTCTGTTATGATTTGTACAATAAAACTAGGTGAATTGTTAAATAAAACTGACAAGCCAATATCTATAATTTTATATTTTTGTTTTTTTCATTAACAAATATATTTTTTTCGCAAATAGCCACTGATTTGAAAATTTTCCTCTTCGCTTCAGTATATCCCCTCGTTGAGCAACTTNTACAAATTTCCCATCATTTTATGTAATGAGGAAAAATAATCAATAAAAATATGCATTCATTTATTAAACATGTCATATCATTTCAACAATCAAATATAATGAGAGGTATAATGTAAACATAGGTATATCATTGACGAGGTAGTTGAAGATTCAGAAAATCAAATTTGCCTTGAGCAATACTGTCTCAACGTCTGGAACCATGCCCAGTCGATTCAAAATTTTCAACGTTTTCTTTCTGCACCACATGCCAATTCTCTTTATACTGAAATTCAAAATTATTCATTATTTATGAAAAAAAATACTGAAGGAAAATTGAAAGTACAACCGAAATGTGATAAAATGAGGAAAAAAAAAACGAGATATCAATTTTGCAAAATGGTGATGGAAAAACTATAACAAATAGTTAAATCAAAGCTGTAAATTAACTGAAAATATATTTCTTACCTCAAAACAAATTCAAAATAGAACTGCAGTGGGAAGTTTAAAATTCTATTTGTAATACTGTTGTATTCGGTGTATATACTTTTGGTGGCGGTACGTGCTAAAACACTGTATCTGTCAATGGGATTTCCATGATCATGTGAAATGGCTCTAATTGTGTTGAGGTTCCTGAAACAAATTGTTCAACTATGCAATTTTCAGGAAAATATATATTTGCCTTGGCAAATAAAGCTTAGAATTATTGCCCACAAATATCTATTTCCCAAAATGAACAATGGTAGTGTCGTCCACTCTTTCATAATAGAATATAATATAGAACTAAACTTGATTGATTCGGAGTACGAACCTGATTACTAGAAGAAGTGCTCTTTGGCAAATAAAGCTTAGGATTATTGCCCACAAATATCTATTTCCCAAAATGAACAATGGTAGTGTCAACTATTTCATAATAGAATACAATATAGAACTCAACTTGGTTGATTCGGAGTACCAACCTGATTACTAGAAGAAGTGCTCTTGGCATCGTCTGCAAACAACACATAACATTATCAAATTTATTCTTAGCGAAGTCTGTCATAATCTGCAAGTCTTTCTCAGAGAGTTTTGATCTTAGCTTGAAACCGCTTGTTTTCAATGGTGCTTGAGTTAAAATTTCGGCAAATAATTCATAATCTAAAAATTATTAAGTTAAAAGACTATCGAAACTATAGGACTATATACTTTCAACTCCTAATTTAGAGGAATATTTCTTCATAGCGATATGATCATTCAATACAATAGCTTTCCACATATAACTGAGAGCCAGGCGATCCTCTTCTGAAACTTGCTGATATAAACCATGATCTAATAGTACCAACTCCGTGTTGCTCTTTATTCTTCTTATCAATACTGAAAAAACATCATTTTGCAACTATCAAGATCAGAATAACATTTTTCATTATAATTAAGCATTATAAATTGAAGGTACCCGTTAAAATTTATATATAGGTAAGTTGGCAAAGGGTTCTGTTATATAATAATAATACTTTATTAAGCAAATTACAAAAAAATGATTTTTTGGCTCTGTTACACTCTTACACTAAACCCAAAGCACATCTTCACTTGAAGCCATCATATTGAAATCATAGATCAATTTCATTCAACTTAACCGATTGGACATTGGAGCTCTCCGTGTAGGTTCCTGTCTATCACTAGAAGTCGCATACATGATACATTTTGCAGAAGAAAGTTTACCTCATTTGAAAAAATTGCTACACCATTGAAGAATTTATAACAATTTTCCAAGGTACCTGCATTCTTTACTCTTGTCTTTTCGGGATTTCTTTTTAATGTAGAGTTGAGTAAGTGTCGTGATGTTTTTTAATTTGTTCCTATTACCAGGTCCTTCTTTGTTGTACCATTTTAGTTTTACAAACATCAAGTCACGATTTTCTTGTTATTTCCTATTATTTTTTGTAAAATATTATTATTAGGAAGCCCCTGACAACAACGTAATGAAGCCAATGCTTGCCATGTGGAAAACATATGTAGATAACATATTCATCGTCTGGCCCTTCGGACAAGGTTCAGACTGGTTTATGGGGAAATATTGTTCTCAAAATCATGTCACTCGGAACCCAGTTGGATAATGATTTTCACTCATGAAAAGTACAGCCTACGCTGGACTCACAGCCTCCGCCCCCTTTCAGAATATTAACTTGATTATGTAGTTACTTCTATATTATGATCTTAGTATACTATCATGCAGGTTCCTTAGATGCCAATGTGTGTCAACTGATCCATGTCTTGAACTGTATGTTGAAAGGAAAAACTTCAAGTCATTTAGGAAAGATAGCTGGTCTATAAAGAAATTTGTTGTAATCCATCTGTAATTTTAGAAATGTATATTTCTTAAATATTCATAAATATAAAAGATTTTGAAGTTNCTTACCTATAATTTTACTGAGTTGATAGATACAGTAACACATAGGCGTTATTTTTTTACATATTTCATTAATATGTTGATTCCATTTACAATCTTCAGTGAGAGTAAGTCCTAGAAATTTTATTGAATTCACCTGTTTCATTAAACCGTGCTGTGATTTTAACAGTAAACTGTTAACATATGGAAGTTACATATTTTGTTTATCTGAATAGGATGGCGACCGTTGAATATGATTTTGATTGTCAAGTTAGCGGGAATTCGGTCAAAAGGTTGAAGAAAACCCAAACACAACCCACTAAAAACAATGAAGAATCCTACTAGCCTTGCAGAACATTGCAAATCGTCCCTTCATACTTTTGATTTTGAGTCAGTCAACGGACAACGGACGATACTAAAAAAAAAGACTCCTGAACGAAATGATTAAAATAACAAAACATGGAACAAAATGCGTTAACAAAAGGTCGGATATTGAAAACTTACACACCTCATATTTCAATCTACCTAATAGAAAAAATCAAACAATAACTAACTTTAGAATCATTAACCGACTGCTTTTTCCAAATACAATTCTCATTTCTTTCATGGGTTTTTTAGAATTGTTAAGAACGATTTACAGACAGTTCGGATTGTTAATCCCTTTGTGTCTGTGTCGACGTCTTTCAGGAACCTGTGTACGTGTTTATATTTTATGTCGAAATTATCCACTTCACCCTTCAACTCGGGAAGTCGCCCTAAATGTAAGTACTCATCAATGTTGTTTTTTGTAAAGTGTTCGAAGCGTTTATTATTTTTTAACGATTGCTATATTACATAATTTATTTTGTTTCTAACAGAACTGCTTTGTAAATTTCCATTTTAATATGTATGTCTTGTTCTTATACTTCAGAGTCCTGAAGATGAAACAATGAAGTTTCGAAACGTCGACAATTAAGAAATTGGTTTTCTTCGACATTTTGACCGAATTCCCGCCAACCTGACAATCAAAATCATATTTTGTTCAGATTATAATTCTAATCTCATTATATGAGAATGTGTATAGTGCATATTGTACATTTTCGAAAGAAGTAATTTGCCCCAAATATTTTCATTATATGACCCTGACCTTGTATCAGACTAAAGTTTCTTACTATTTCCAGGATGTGGATCAGCATGAACGAACCCAGTCTGAAAAATTTGGTGTCCAAAAGCTTCGAACAACTTCTTATTGATATCCACTAGAGAAAAGCCGCTCCTTGTCAATTCTTCCACATCACTAATTTTACAACCATCAATGAATTCTGTCACGAGCACCCTCTATAAAATGATATTGAATTCGTATTATTCAAAACAATTCAATATGAATAATCATTCATTACAATACCGAGGAGGTATAGTCCCAAAATACTTTGGGTACATGAATATATTTGAAGCAGCTCAAGTCCCGTGCACATCTTTCGCTGTTCAACCCTTCATTTATGAAATCAAGTTCCTGTTTCATTGTCGTTTCCAAGTCTCCTATCACCCAAGCAAAATTGAAATTGGGATGCATAAAACCTATAACTTTCAGTAGAGCCTTTACAGTAATTACATCACTTTGAAAGCGCTTTTGTAAATCAATATACTGCACTTTAACAGCAACTTTCTGATCATCTTTGGTTGTTGCTTGGTATACCTAAAATAATATTTTTGAATAAAATATGTTAAATTGCCAATACTGCCAATAAATTACCAAAATTATTCTATATTGATTTTGATGACAATGAAATCGTGTTTGGATATCAAAATAGTGTTTATTACTATATCATCGTAATATACAGATATTACACCTTGAGAATAACATAAATTTAAAAATTTAGAATGTATGTCATTATTGGTTTGATAAAAAATAACAAATGGTAAGATTAATCGAGTCTTTTCTAGCTGACAGGCGATGCCACAATGTGCAGTAGTTTCGTCACCTCTTCTCGATATATACAGCAGACGTGCCCAAGCCGGAGAACAACTTTAACAAGTTGGAGCTCTACGCGGACGACACAGCTCTGCTGGCGCGATCAACAAGCAAGCCAAGCGCACGACACTAGATACTTGCAGCAACAGGCAGATGTATTAGAGGGCCAACCTGTGGAAGATCAGTATAAACCCTGACAAGAGTCAGGCGATACTGTTCACCCGGAAGGAAACGTCACCTTCAACGGACAAGAAATTCCGTGGACCAAGCTTAATACCTGGAAATCAAACTAGACAAAAGATTAACGTTCAGGTCTCACGTACGGCAGATGATAGGAATGGCTAGATCTGCCTGACAAAACATATTACCAATAATAGGTCGAAGAAACAACATGGGATTGAAATTGAAGTTGCTGTTCATAAAGACCGTATTATTACCAATAATCCTGTATGCCTGCACTGTCTGGGGCCAGTGTGCAGCGACATACAGAAGACAGATCCAGTCGTTTATCAACGCGTGCGTAAGGGCCGCCGTAAACGCTCCAAGATATGTACCGAATAGGTACATATTCTGGGATCTAGATCTGAGCATACACTACGTAGACGCATATATGAGACAACACGCAGAAGACACGTTTGACAGAATTCAAGGGCGCGACAATCCAGCGCTAAGTGATCTACACTAAACGGGGATGATCCCAGATTCCGAGAGAGGGACAAACACAAGAGGCAAACGAAGCAGAACCAAAGACCACCTCTGAGAGTCACTATAAGGCGACTCTGGTAATCATAAAAACTTCTTAACCAGATTTCAAATTCACTTCATTTTCAAATTCACTTCGTTTTCAGATTCACTGGGAAACAACAATTGCTCTCGACATAAAGACACGCGTCTCCGGTTAGTTTTTGGGGACCCCATACAAACATTCAGTTAGGAAAGTCACGATAAAAGAAAACATTAGATTAGAGAGTGAAGGCACCTAAAGGCTGACTTTCGATTGAAAGAGGTCAGATGTCAATTTTGCTGAAGTGTCCATCAGTAAGTTGAGGACCGCTCCAGAGGAGAGGGAGTGGATGGACGAGGAGCGATATTCTGCACACAGTAACCGTGTGGGGAAGATTTCAACTAAGGGCACTCAACCTGAGAGGGGGCATGGGGGGAAAAAATATCAACTCTCGATAAAACCAATACAAATAACATAAAATGCCAAGGTTCTTGTATTTGTCTCTATCAGAAAAATGTTCTATCATATTGTATTGTATTGTATTGTATTGTAACACTGAAATTGAAAGGAGTTTATTTAGGTATTGTCAACTATATATGAAAGTGGAATCAAAAGATTACGACTCACATGTATCAAAAGAAAGAAGAAAGCAATCGATCTGAAAATAAACTCCTTACAAAGATGTGTAGATCATGCATAGAAGTTATTTTCAGATACAAACTGAATGAAAAAGCTCTCACGAAACAACTACTTTCATGTGAACATACAATTATATAAAAAATATATCTCTTACAACTCGAGTCATTGTACTTCTGCAAATGCCAACCACTCATATCAGCGAACATACTTAGCCTACTACCTACTGAGCTCCCATCAACACACCATACAACATTTTAGAATACTTTACAGAACGGAATTCACCTTTATACTTGAAAATCATGAATGTGTTGATTTGATCGGATCATTTCTATGTGAGCTTAATATGGATGATATTAGGTTGTTTCAAAAGGTTTGTCCGTTATTATGAGTCTGTTTTAAACTGTAATATCTCAGTGAATAATTATTCAATTTATTCAAAATAAGCGCCATTTGAATCAGTGCACTGTTGTTAACGTAACACAAGTCAATTAACTCTGTCAAAATAAAAATTTCATGCTCGGGATTCGATGAAGTCAAGGAAGGCCGTCTTTGCCTGGTTTCGATTGACGAAGATTCTACCGGTGAGAAAGTAATCAAAGGCCGGCGAGAGGTCTGGGGGTGAGGCAGAACATCGACGTTCAGTTCATTTGATTTACGGACGGTGATTTGTGAAACGTGCGGACGGGCGTTGTCGCGGAGCAGGATCGGACCTCACAATAGGACTCTGCTGTGATGGTTTGGCCCGTTTGCACAAAGTTATAGTGAATCACACCAGCCGCTGACCACCATACAGTAACTATAGCCCTTTTTGGTGGGTTTTCGACTTTGGAAAGTGAATCGGTGTCGAAACACTGTCCTTAAAGTCTCCTGTTGTGAAGGATCCACTTTATATCACACGTGACGAATCGTTCCAAAAAAGGATCGTTTTGGTTGTGCAAAAGCAAAGAAGAACAGATCTCGAAACGTTACAATTTCTTTCGATTGTCCAAATCGTCGGGCACCTACTTTTCAAGCTTCATGACCTTTCCAATACGTTTTAAAAAACCGAATAAGAGTTGACGCCCAATTCTTTCGCTATCTCACGCAATGTTTGTGATGGGTCAATCTCCATCAAGATTCTTAAATCCTCGTCCTGGATTACTGTAAGTCGACCACTTCTTGGCTCATCTCCAAGGCTAAAATCTCCGGAACGAAATTTCGCAAACCAACGTCGAACACTGCGTGCATTAACACTATCATTGCCAAATGCCTGATTATTTTTAGGGCTGTTTCGGCATTGCTTTGGTTCAATTTGAATCCGTAGAGAAAAATGAGCCGACATCATATGTAAGTAATAAACTGAAAAGAGGCAAAATATTTAAATAAAAAAAAAATGAACAGCATCAATGTACATAGTACAAAATTCTCTATCAATCAGTATATAACAGGACACAGTAAAATAAATATTCATTGAGATATGGAGCTACAAACACGCATAACATTGAAATGGACAAAACTTTTGAAACAACCAATTACTAAATAAATCAAATTCCTACCTGTGCTATACTAGCTGCAGCTAGTGGTTCAGGATTAAAAGTCTTGAATATCTCATGTGGTTCTTTCCCAAAGTCCTCTTTGAAGAGTTGATTCAATTCACCCCCTTTCCTGGTGAGACATTTATCTTGCAACCTTTTCAAAGTCAATATGTATTCTTTTGGCAATATTTGACTCATAGAAACTAAACCTTGGCCTAGTTTTATATAACATCCACCATTTTTCAAACATCCATCTAATAGATTATTAGCAGCTCTCTGATGTATTCTGCTCATCATTGCATTATAATTTCTGGAGGATTCGTCGAGTCCTAACATCGAAAAATAATAGTCCACTGATATATGAAGACCAATTTTTACCGATCTGAAAAACAACATGAATACTGTTTCAAGTTTTGATTCAATAAGGATTCCCTAATTGTTCATACAGATCACTAGGAATTTGAAAGAGCTCTAAAAATCTCTAACCTCTGGATCCAGTAAGTTTTATTTATTAGTTCTTAAAATCAAGGGTAAACAGTAGACCATTAGTAGGTGCAGGTGATCCATCCCAATGAATGCAAAAATATTTATCTGAGATTTTTCAGAGAAACTTTTCCGAAAAATAGAGCAACTAATATCTACAGGAAACCAATACTACCTTTACATCTCTGAAATTCCTCACCAAAAACTACTGAAGGATGTCAATAACCCTTAGAAGTTATGCCGATAAATAAAGTTTAACCATGGTGACCCGACTTAGATGTCGTGACATCACTTCGGCACCAAGGTAACGCTTTTTAGAATGAACAAGAAGAATTTTAAGAATAAGAATGTACGGAAAGTGTATGAATGTGGTATAAATTGGGTTCCGAAAACGAGTCGATTATGTCAAAACTCTGATTAGTTCCATGTTCAGATAAATGCCGAGGTTCATTTCTGAAATAAGTGGATTAGTTATTCAATTCATGTAAATGAAGTAAGAAGTGTAAACTGTGAGTGTTTGATTTGAGTAAGTGTACCACTTTATTACTCGTATTTACGAACCCATCCAAAGATGTTCGGCATCAGTATCGTAGTAAATAATGTTACTGAAGAAAAAACACATGAATAGATCTAGTAGTTTATGGTGAATACCTTAGTGAATAATAACGAGATGACGGCGAAGGAAGAGATGATGGAATTCTGGAAATCAAGAACAGGAAGAAAAGAACATGAGAGATGTTCTAAAATTAGGGTTAAGTAATTTTTGATGAAGAAAACACCGAAAAAGTAGAACAAAATGGAAGTGATATCAAGTTCAGGAATCAATGCAAATAATCACGGGTAAACAGGTGGATGAATTGGAATATTAATTAGACATACCTACAGTAATCCTCGACAATTCGAAACAACAGTCAAATCCAGCGACCAGTCATAAGAGGACTAGTAGCTCTAGTGCTATGATATAGGAAACAGCCAAAATGATTATCAAAGGATCGAGGAGCCTGTGAAAATGTGATACAGGCTAAAACAGTTGAAGCAGGTACTAGGTATAGCAGAGCCAACTTAGAAGCCGGATGAGGCAGATATCGAGAAACTAATTAATTTGGTCCAAACACCAAAAGACTGTTAAGGGCAGATTGAAGTGTATATTATATACCTTCATTGACGGTTTAAAAGGCACCGATAGATGCAGTAAGTTCTGAAGTTAGGTCGAAATCTGTTATAGTAAACGCTGTATACGGGTGTGTATGTATATCTGCACTGAAATTGCAAGAAATGTTTCAAAAGGGGTGGAATCGGATCTGATAGGTGTCACTTTCAGCGAAGAGTCAACATTGAAGTGAAGTGAAGTGAAATTATTTATGAATGCGTCATGGGTCTAGACATTATGAAATATAACAGCTCAATTTTGAACATCAAGAAGATAATTCTAAAGATCGACGACGAAGAAATTTCATCGAATCTGTTTGGTGGAGTGAACAGTTGAAGAATCGAAATAGAAAACGATCAAATTCCCAGAACATAATAACGAGACCAGAGGGAAAACCTGAAGACTTGGGCACAATAAGGATACTTCACACGGGGAGCTTCACGTCTCTCGTTCCTATACGAAAGCGTGTATCACTTCTACCTACGGCCCATTCACACCGGAAGCCTTTTTAGTTTCTGACTTTCTTGAGCACAGTCATTGAATGGATCGCATGCCAGCAGTTGCCATATACCTTTTCTACCGTCGACAAAAACTTCGACGACAGAAACGCCAACGATCAATAATGTTATGAATACATCCAATCAACCAAAAACGCGAAGAAGCAGGAGTTTTTGTCACGTTTCACCCAGAACTTACACGGGATGAGAAAAAATTCTTCAATTATTTTCGAGTGTTGTCTGCTTCATTTGATGAGCTCCTAGACAAGGTGAAGAATAGAAGATACTCAAAGATACTAGCATGAGGAACTGCATTGAACTTTAATGAAATAGAACGATACATTTTAACATAACTTGGGAAGAAAGAGAGAGTCGTTTTCACTCCTCTTGTGAAATCCTCCCTCATCCTTTTGCATTTTGAGGAGGGGATGTGGCTCCCCGACACCAAGTGCAAGAGACCTCTCCCGAGACGTCTGGAAGCTCCATGGGATTCGTTGCATTCTGGAGCTAAGAGCCTTCCTCTCTCTCGGGAGCGGGAGACGTGAAGGTCCCCGTTTAGTGGAAGCTGAAAATGACCGATGAGGTGGGTTGAAAATCATCAAGTTTTCGTCAATATGGACTGCTCCGAAAAATTTCTGCGAGGCTTTTTCAAAACTGCACAAATTTTCAGGTCATGATAGTTTTATTAAGCGATAGTCAAAAAATTTAACAGTTGTATTGAAGATTGAGTGTATTGAGTTGTAACTTAGAGTAATTAAATACAGTTCCTTTAATAAAAAAATGAAATAAAAAAGAATTGGTTCGATAATTTGTATAGAAATTTTTTTTGTTCCTTTTTTTCCGAAAACTATAGTGTTACTTTTGGGGTAGGCAATGATTTTTGAAATATGAAATAAAGTTATTTAAGTCAAAGTTACCAGCGGGTACTATGTGTATATCGGCAGCATAGTAATGCTGTTTGCAAGACGAGAATACATTCGAAAAATCATAACTGTAAGTGAATGGTCTTCCAATAAGAAACTGCTACTCGCCTCATCTTGATTTTTTTTTATTATTCGAGTTTTTTTGTATAGGGGACATCAGTACAATCTGAACAATGGAGCGCTATATAGTCGAATAACGTGTTTACAATATCGAAACATATTTTCGAAATGGGTTTTCTGTGCGAGCCAGATATCGGCTAATTAGTGATTAATTTGGTGTATGCAATCGTCCCTCAGAAGTATTCATTTTCAAAATAATACATTCGAAACTAACGGATCTCTGCAAGATATAGCTCGTTCGATTGAGAATATTCAGGCTATTCGGGAAAGTGTGGATGAAAATCCACAAATGTCTGTTAAAATGCGTTCACAACATTTTGGTATCAGCAGAACTTCAATATGGCGAATTTTGAAAAAAGAGTTGGGTCAAAATCTTCACAAAATTCAACTTCCACAGGAGTTAAAGCCACCAGATCATGGAAAACGCCGTACTTTTAGCAACAGAGGAAGGCAGAGGATAACTTTTACAATAAAATCCTCTTCAGTGACAATTGTCGCATCTGGGACAATGAAAATCATAGACAGATTCAAGAAAAGCCAATGCATGCTTATCGTGTGACAATTTGGTGCGGTTTTGGGCTGGGGGTATCATTGGTCCGTATCTTTTTGAAAATGAATACGAACAAGTTGTTACAGTAAACGGAGAGCAATAACGAGCAATGACTGATGTTTTTATGAAATGAGACAATGGGCATGGCTGTAGGGACACGGTTTGCAGGGAAGATTATTTTAAGGGATGGGGAAGTGAATTGGCCATCAACATCATGCAACTTGACGCTGCTGGATTATTTTTGTGGGGCTATGTGAAGAGCAAAGCTCGCAAAAACAATCCCCTATCCATTCAAAAATTGAAACAAGAAATTCGTGGCGTACCTGCACAAATGTGTTCAGAACTCATGAAAAATTTCATTACTTCTAAAAACTACTAATCAAAGAATTGTGTGCTGCCAAAGAAGTCGTGTTGGTCATTTGGCAGATATTGTATTTCACATATTATTCATTTTATTCGTTAGCAACATCGGAACCTCTTATTGGAAGACCCATTATATGTAGAATGTTGATATGGTGTAATATGGTAATAAAAATTGAGCACTGCGGTACTTACTTCTCTACTACTCATACAGCAATATTTGATGTCTTGTGTGAATGATTTCTGTGAGAAACCACTATAGTGACTCTTGAATAGTGTAATAAAATCATCAATATACATTCACCCTGATGATGTCGTCACTGATTTGTAGCAATGTTGAGGTGCAGTTTTGTCACCAGATTGAATCCCGATGTTATGTATTTCAACTAAATGAAATAACATACATTTTTCGGGACTTGTTTATGTATGCATAAAGAACAATTGATTTAAGGGGAGTGAAAATCCATTAATGTTGAAAATACCGGATTTCTTTGTGCAGAAATAAGTTCAGTTTGGTATGAATTTCCAAAGATATCTTGCACATTCTTGAAGAGTGACATCGAAAATGGGTATTCAATAACAATGACGCTGCCCTGGAGTAGTACCTAAGTCATCTATATTTGAATCAATTGTAATTCTGAATAACTGCTAATTCTCAGTGAAAGATGTGTATTTTTATCAAGAAAACAACCTATGATGCTTCAATCCTGTTTCTGAAGTCAAATTTCATTATCGTACTTTTCGTTCTGAATTGAAAACTGATTACCATAGTACTAAATTCTGCAATTTCATCAAGCTGCTGGCATAATTAAGAGGCTTTAACTGTTGAGAGCTGCTGGATGCAAACATTGTCTTTAAGTTTTGACAAATCTACCTGTTTGACCCGACAGACTTCAGTCACCAGACGCTTGTTACAAAGAAAGGCATTTTGCAAGACCTTTACTGAAAGAAACAGTCCTTCTGAAGAGCAGGTAGGTAGATGAGCAGTTGGCAGTCAGTTTTAAATGTTTTCACTTCCTAGAGACACATTTTACATAATGAACGGCCCCATGCCCCGGGTCACCGTATGTAAACACCTCTATACCGTGTTTACTTTATATGGTACCCGAGTTCAGTGCCCTGAGATAAAATCTTTTTCCCTTCCTTCTTCTCTTTTATCCATGAACTGCTTCAGCAAATTTTTGCTTCATCTCTGATGAATCAAATAATATATAGTCTATTTCAAAAGAGTGTAGAGTAATAAATCATGAAGTGTCATAAAATTTGCCTGAATTTCATTGTCGTCCATGGGCGTAGGCAAATCTTAGGATTATTAAACTTAATAATTAAAGTAAATTAAAAATTACAGACATAGATAATAATAAAAGGCCATTTTTGGGAAGTAANAAATTTCTTTGAAAAATTTAAATTTGAAAATAGCGTACAATTTAAACTTGATTTAACTTTGAATTCGAATAACTTCCCGCAAATGCTAGCGCTTCTCTTGGTTATTTTTTGAACATTTAGAAAAACCTGAGCAAAACCATAATATATTCGACTTCAGTAATGATGAATTATTAATAATGATAGAAAAATTATATTAAATTTTAACAACCCATGAAAAGCATTGGATACATACATTTTGACAACTGAAACGCTATAAAAAATTAGAATTAAGGAAAATAATGATCCATTTTTCCTCCGCATCTTGCACATTCTTGAAGAATGACATCGAAAGTCGGTATTCCATAACAATAACGCTGGAGATGTAATTCATCTATATTAAAACGACACCTTTCAATCAACTGTAGCTAATTCTGAATAACTGCTAGTTCTCAGTGAAAGATGTTTATTTTTATTAAAAAAAACGACCTGTGATGTTTCAATCAAGAATCCTGTTTTCGAAGCCAAATTCCATTATCGTTCTTTTCTTCACGAATTGAAAACTGATTACCATAGTACTAAATTCTGAAATTTCATCAAGTGTGCAGGGATTGGAAATTCCTCAGAGTAATAAAAGACAATAAAGAGGGCTTTTCATAACTTTGTTTGTTTACGGAAAGTAAGTTGGACCATTAAACAGTGGCGGTTGGTTTAGTTGATAATCGGAGGGATATTATATATTTATAAAATGAATCATTTTAGGTGAAAATGTATTCTGTTCAAATAGTTCCTTCAGGAAATCTGATTTATTATTAATGATTATGGAAATGGGGCCAGTTTTTCTACCACCTATTAGATTTTTATTCATGTATGGCTTTATAATAAAGCGCGTGATTACTGGGTTGAAATTGAATTATTGCAAATGAATGATAAATGTTAATTTCAAAAGTAATGAATTCTGCTTCATAAAATTAGATGAAGAAATTTGTGATTCATTCTCAGATTTGATAAACAAGCGGTACGGTTTGTGAGGTCCGATATAAAGAATTTTCGATTAGAAATTGTGAACATTTATAATTACGATTGAGGTTTGATATTATTATGTGATTTCATTCAAAATTGTTATCTAGGGGTCTTTGTGGACCGACATTATGAAAGGGGATATTTTTTATGTTTTCAATGATCATTTTTTTATCTCATTCGTATAAACAAAGTTTTTGAAACTAGGTGTATATTATTTCATTATTCGACATATCCCAACCAAAAAAGGGTTAAAAATGACAACAGTCATTTCTTATTGAATATTGTCTGTATGCAACGTGAGAGCCTCGTGCAGAAAAGAAAAATCAAAACGGAAATCATATTTTTAGGGTGACGCAAGTTAGTTGTTAAGTGAGCAATAACAGATTTAACACTGGTTGCACAAGAATAACTATTTAGTATACAAACTGAACATTGAGCAGAAAACTTTTTAATTTGTTGATCACAGAATGAATATGACCAATGGCAACCATATTTATGAAAAACATATTTTTCATTCTTGAATACAGTTTTACATTAATTATTTTTCGTAATTATAGAATTCGTCAGCATGAATCATTGAGAAAAAAAAAACATAATGTCGTTCCACAATTATTCTTATATACCAATTTTGAATGAAATCACATAATAATATCATAACTCAATCGTAATTATAAATATTCATGATTTCTAATCGAAAATTCTTTATATCGGACCTCACAAACCGTACCGCTTGTTCATCAAATCTGAGAATAAATCACAAATTTCTTCATCTGATTATATGAAGCAAAGTTCATTACTTTTGAAATTAACATTTATCATTGTAATGAATTACTTCATTTGAAATGATTTAATTTTAACCCAGTAAACCCACCACGCGCTTTATTATAAACTATACATAAATAAAAATCTAGTAGGTGGTAGAAGAACTGGCCTCATTTCCATAATCATTGATAATAAATCAGATTTCCTGTAGGAACTATTTGAATAGAATACATTTTCACCTGAAATGATTTATTTTATAAATATATAATATCCCTCCGATTATCAACTAAGCCAACCGCCAGTGTTTTATGGTCCAACTTATTCCAGATGTAAACAAACTCTCCATAACCTCTCATTACCCGCCACCCCCCCTCGCATTTAAGTTGTACAGAAAAGGATAGCACGATACCCGTTTCAAAATACATGTATTGTATTGGAATAGGCATGGCAACTCTATGTCATATTATTACTCTGAGGGAAATTCCTACCTAGTTGTTGGGAAAATTATGAAACACAGATTACAGAGTACTCGTATGACTGGTTGCATATGCTTAGTGTAGTTGATTCCAGTGATAATTTTGAATATTCAAAAATTAGGCATGTGCAGCACTTTGACTATCAATATCAATTGATTCTTGGTATAGTTTATATTACACAGTTTACTCACCGCAAAAATCGAAGTCCACCGCTGACATTGGCCACGATATTACCACTATTTCCACCATCATTAAGAGGGCTTTGAGAGGTAGCCATCATAGATAGTCCCAACCCTAAACTTGTATACCGGAAAAAAATCTTCGCCTCTTCATTATTCTTTTTAAAATTTTTCCAGCAGGAGTTTATTTCAGTGAGGTGTTTCCACAGGTGAACTCTAGACATCTTTCAGCATCAGCAAAAGAGAGGAGACATCTTTCTGCAATTGAAGAAAATATAACCGTTTTTTTGTATTTCAGAGTTTAACACCTATTTTTTCTGTCAATTATAGTATAAGTATTCATAGAAGTGAAAAAATCAAAATCATTACAAAAATAGATGAAAATTTTTAGGCATTATTACATTAAAATTAGTCGCGCAAGTGCACTAGGTAACCTAAAAAAACATAACATGCAAGATTAAGAGAGAAAGAAGATTTTCTCTCCCCTATCCTCCCCCCTATCAACCGGTTTAGGGTGCCCTTTAAACAGAATAGGAGACTTATTCGACTCCTACACTGAGGTGTATGCTGCTGTGTTTGTGGGACACTAGCAAAAACTGTGATTTTCGACCCCATTAGTTGTTGTGCCAGCGTTGAAACTAACCAAATTCAAGGTGAGTTTTTCCCTACTGTTTTTATTCCCAACAAATATTTCATTTTCATAACAACCATCAGCTGATTTTGACAAGTAATGTTGTGTTTCCGAGTTATGACAAGCAAAACGAAAATGTATGGAAAGACGTGTAACTAGTTTTATTGAAATTGTATGTTTTCGGGTATCCCATTAATTTTTGCTCAAATCATAACGCGACAAAAAGATTCCTTTGTTCTCTCTCATTTGAACAGGGCATTCGATCGATGACGCAATACACTGGGACGCGAGGAAGAGAGAATGAAAAAAAAGCTTTCCGTAAATAAAGTTGAACAGAGACGCAACATCCTTAGGTAGTGTGTTGTGCGCATGATGAATCCTAGATTGTATAGCCTAGGCCTAGATGTTTGGTCTGTGTTATTGTTGTCAGTACAAAAATTGTTGATGATTATTTTATCCAAATGTAAATAGATATCTGAAAATTGCCTGGAAATCGCTAGACTGAGCGGCAACTGAATAAGGTTGTTTCATTATAATCAGCCCGATGACTTGTTTTGAAAAAATAAAAAAACATTGATTTGTTTATCAGTCAGGTACTTGAAAACTTGGAAAAATTTAAGAAACATGTTTATAATGAGACGGATCTAGGGAGATCAACCACAATGTGTAAAAATAATGAATCCACCACAATTTAAGTATTTTATGTCGGACTGATCTGATATTACATTTTAGGAAGCTAAGGGTGGGGGTGTAAGGGTCACGGTAGTAGAGGTCTTAGATCAATATCCTTATGTTGAGGGGAAATAAGTTGGAATGGATTATTGTATTTGGAGCTGGAGGAGAACGTACATCTGTGAAAAATGTGAGAATTTTGATTTTCTCATAGTATGTAACTAGGTAACCGAATAATCAGTCTTCTGTCATATTTGGATCTGATTTGTTTTTCAGGAATGAAAACAATATGGAAATACTTTATAAAATATTTTTTTATACCAACTGCTATCTTTTTTTGTACTGGAAACATCTGAAAAATACACCACAGGTTTATTAGGAGAACCTTAAAATTAAAAAATCCATATTATTGATATAAGTGTATTCAAGAGTAGAAAACAAAACGAAATAATTAAAAAAGATTGTTCAATAGTTATATCTTTTTAAAATAACTTTATTAAAAATGCTCATTGTGGTCTGAATAACTTTGAAATATTTAGAACGTTTATAATGAGTACATTTTAATTCTCTTCAAATTGAAAGGGGTATATTTTTAGGAGAGATTAACTGTTTGGGAAAGAAAAGTCTTGACTTTCTACTTCTCCATTTCTATATTTTTTTTTGAAATATTCCTTTTTAGTAACTTATTATTTAAACACATGTGCAATGAACATGCCTGAAAAATATTTTGTTTAGTGAAGCAATAACAGTTTTGTGAACAGTTGAGTGAAAATATCGATTGAAGTGTTATTTACAATACATCATGTGGCGTTATGATATCCCTGTAATTACATACAATATATACAATACAATATGTACTAGTGTAATCAGTGTCGAGAAAATATTATTAATATTATTATTTCCTTTCGTTGAACCGGACCAAGTTAGTCCGCTTCGCTACCGCACTCATAGTAGGTACCAACTTTGTATAAATATACAAAGGTACCCATTATCCATATTCACTCAGTATAGGTATATAGTAGGTGTCACTTTCTTCGAAACCATAATTAGTTGCCACGAGTGGATTTGTCAGCGTTTGACATTTCATACACTGCTCAACAAGTGAATAATAGATATAAACTGCTCGACAGTAAAACAAATTTTATGGAAAATTAAATGGGTGGTTTGTGTAATTTTTCACTCCAATTGTTACACGTTTTTACACGCTCCTTGTTTGTTTGGTTCAAATTTTGTAATCGATTCGAAAATGAGTTATCGAGGATCTACAGAGACTTGCAACTCCAAACATAGCTTAGAACGGGAAAAAACATATTCGTTGTTTTCTTTCAAAACTCTCATTTCGCTAAACATTGTTTTCATATCTTTCAAAACACGAATACAATATGAAATAAATAAGAATTTGAAATATTTCCGACGAAGTGGTAATATTAGCCACGACAAAATTTTTCTTTATTATGGTTCCACAAGCGAAAAGTCGTCAGTCTGATAGGCCAAAAGCGGTAAATTCCAAGAACAATTTTAGACATGACAACGTTGCCGATTATCGGGGTAACTCACGGCGCATTCTAAAACTTCCCTCTACGATTCGATCATGCGCTTTGTGATTTATTACCAAAAAGCGGGGATAGTGGGACTACTAGGTCTTTTAGCATTCTACTGTGCCCCAACCTTCAGAAAGAGTAACTCAAAAGTTGGCAAGCTTTATAATTTGAAAAGTAAGTTAAGTTACCAAGACTGTTTCCTTCAAACCGATATAATGATGAAAAAAATGAAGGCTAGGCCATCAAAACAAGAGTTTTACAGCGATAATACGTTTCTTCCCAACAGCGATAAAACTGACAACCTTCTAACATCTAGGACAGGTGTCAAACTCAATTTTGCATATCAAATTTGGAATGTGTAGGCGGGTCAGATTCAAATGAGAAAAATTTACTAATTATTATATTTTATTTATTTCATTAAATAGTATATAATATACGATTGTTAAAAATCATATCAAATTTATGAAAGAGGGTAATTATTTTGCGCTCGAGGATCTAGATACCTGACTTCTCTTGTTTTTGACAAGCTCATTGACTGAAGATGTTCATTAATAAGTCTTGTGGGATTTTCCTTCTTTCCTCATTCAAAACTTCACAATGAAATTGTTCTCAGATAGTTACAGATAGATATAATAATAAAATTTGTATTAGAGCCAAATCATTACTTTCTTTCTTCATTGATTGATTGATTGACATGCACAGAATGCGTGCTGCAAAGTTTTACAATAGGCTCATTCAGGCTAATTTAGTTTTTTATTGGAAATTACATATTATAAAATTAAAGCATCTCCCAAGTATCCCACAAAATTTTTCGGTTTATATGTCAATTAACAACTGAGCAAGAGCAATTGAAAATGTGAGATCGCCCGCGGTACATCTTGACGTCACACCAGGTAACGAGCTTCGAGCGGTGGTAACCGCTGTTATCGTCAATTCAATTAAATTTTCTTTAAAGTAATGTATATAAATATCAATTCTGGGTAACTGCCATTTTTGAGACAAAAGTTCTATGATAAATAAAGAGTCCCTTGCGATTCCAAGATATAATTTATTTTTCTCCATGACGTAAATAGATCTTCGCCGAATATTGTTTTTAGAATACCAGTTTTGACCAAATATTCCAGACAAAGTAGAATCTGATGATGTATCAACAGAAGTCATGTCTGATATAATCCAACGCCCTTCGTGGTATTTGCCAGGGGAGTAGTTGTTTTCTGATAGGCGTCAGTCCATTAAACCTACTGTGTAGGTATATAGAGACTGGCTTGAACGTTTGAAGTTCCATTTNTGTACTATTTGAAACATAAACTTTCAAATAATGAAATAAAAAAATTTGTTAAATGAGCCCATTCCGGGTAGTTATCCTAACTCTTGAAATATTGGGTATTAAATGTAAGTGGATTAATGTCTTTAAATTTTTCTTTCCGATTAAAGATCTATCAACTCCATTTGCAAATGAACGGGTGACTGTGAAGCTTCAAAACTGAATGGATTGTTGAAAATTGGGAATTCCATTTCATTCACTTTTTGTAAGTCTCCAAAACTATTGTTGAATTTTATTCTGTTGCTGGCATATTTATGAGGCTTCAACTATTGGGATTTGCTGGACGCAAGCATTGTCCTCAAGTTTTGACAAATCTACCTATCTTACCAGACAGGTAGATTTCAGTCACCTGACGCTCATTACAAAGAAAAGTATTTTGGGGGAAAAATAACGGTGTATATTTCTAATATAATGATTTTGTAAACTATGTCCCCTTCCTTCTTCTCTTTCATCGATAAACTGCTTCAGCTAATTTTTGCTGAACAAACAATATAAAATATAATTCAAGATTTTAGCAGAATATTTGTTCCGGATTTTAATCAAGAACGTGTATTGAATTCAGTAAAAACATTAAAAAAGAGAGAGTTTATGAATATGTTTCATTACAGACATAATTGGTGACACAGACTTCCGCTAAATAGGGAATAGTGATGATGTTTTATATTTTTGAAACGAATGAACTGAATATGTTTTTCTGAACTGAAAGATTGTGAGTCCTGAAACAGAATTAGATGTGATAAACAAAAAAATTAATAGAAAAATGAGATGAGTTAAAATACGTTGAAGCTCTATAATTTTGATTTTGATTATCTAACTTATTAATAGGAAAAACGCTCTTATCGCTTTTGCGTCGACTTTTTCAGAAAGTATTTTGTTTAATGATTCGGCTTTGAACCCATTGTTTACTGCAATTTGCTTGATGATATTAAGTTCTTCATTGAAAGAGGAACATTGACTGATCTGTGTATCAAGCTATTATAAGCTGCTACTTTGTGTTGCTATGGATGGGTAGAATCGTAATGTATAGTAATATCCGTATAGGACGGTTTGTGATAAATTGAAAAATCATGTTTGTTGTTCATTCTACCAATTGTTAAGTCCAATAAATTGATTGATTTGTCCGCTTCTACTTCAATAGTGAATTTAATGTTTTCATGAATTTTGTT